GATCCGCAGGTCTCACATCTACGGTCACTATATCGTGCGTCGGAAGAACGCGGTCGCTAATGTGAGTCGCAGCGCGTGGTCTACAAGAGTCTTGCGTCGCAAGACCGCGATCGCTACTGTCAGTCGCAGCACGTGGTCTCGCTCTAGCAGGCATGTCAACCTCACTGTCTACTTTAATTCGTGACTTTTCCGCTCCGTATTTGGACTGCAACCAAGGGAGTGAACTCCTACTAAGTTACTTTTAGCTTTCCAGCTAGCGACCGTTATTTAAAGGAGAGCCTTTTTTTTTTTCCTAATGAAGAAAAAAAGAAAGGACATGTTTCCACGTCTTGAGGCGAATAGGGCATATAGCGCTAAAACATTATTGGCACATAATAGGTCATGTAGGCAGAATCACGCCAGTCGCCTTTGCTTCCCAAGATTTTAGCTGGTACCCACTCAAGGTTGGGTCGACTTTGGAGCCAAAGTCATTTTTGAAAAAAAAGTCTGGTTCCATTTGGATTCGAGCACATTCAGACCCACAGGCAAATGGCTTTCTTCTAAGGTACAGCGACGATTCCCATTACTAATTCTACAGAATGTTTTGGTGTGGTTCTGGGCACTCCTGCTAAGATGCATAGTGATTGTTGCTGATTTTTTTTTCAATTTGTATCATTACCTTTTACTGAGGTATCATTTAGAATACTACGATAGTCCATCCTTCCTCTAATATATGATTTGTAGAACCTAAACATTAATTAGCACCTCTTCCATTTCCCTTGAGAAATCTCAGCATATTTAGATGTCCTCAGCAAGTTTAGGCCAGGCGCTGTATATGAAAGTTGTTGGTCCAGTGTCATGCCTAAAAACTAAGTAGCGTTTATTCAAATGTTGTATGTGGACAATTTGACGTTGGTGAGGTTTAAATTTATTTGTCTACCTTTACCTAAAATCATCCAGCAGATTTTTCTTATATTTAGACTAAAACCAGATTTTGTCATCTTACTTAAAACTTTGTTAAATTGCTTCTGCAACCCACTTGAAATACTGGGGAGATCTTTTCCTGTTATCTAAACAGTAACATCATTGGCATATTCTGACAGGTTGTTATCTATATCTGAGAACTCACTGAGGTCATTGATCATTATTGCAAGGGCTTTTGGGGAAATAACCTCGCCTTGGGGTTGTGGGTATAGTACAATTTTGTTGTTCATAAAGTTCCATCTTTATTATTTCTGTTAAGCCTTCTTCTTATTTTTTTTTTTTTTTTTTACGTATCCAGAAACCATGATTATAAAAACGCATCAAAAGCCTTTGATATATTCAAGAGTATGGCAACAGTCTTCTCATTTGTCACGAAACCTGACTTGACCATGTTCTAATTTGATAATCTGATGCAAAGTGCTACAGTTTCTTGTTCTAAAGGCAGATTGGTTTAAACTATACAGGTTATTATTTTCTAGGAAGAACATCGGCGTCTGATTTATAGAGTTTCAAGAAGTTTACCTAAATAACATGTTAAGGATAGATGTTAATTTCCATGACTTTCATATATTTTCTATAGTGTATATCTTGATGAATAGTTTAGTAATAATTTTGGATTATGTGCATTATTATGTGTGAAATTATCTTCAGAATCTCATAGCAATTAATGTCCTATCCTGGAGCATTGCTTTCTTTCCCAAGGATTGCTTTGTCCATTTCAAACTCTCTAATCTCAGAATTTAGGCATAACTTATCATTGATATTAGTGTTTGTTTTAGTAACTGATATGTATCTATTACACTAGTTCATCTATTGATTTCACTAATTTTGATCCAAGATGGCTGATTCTTGAAACTAAGCACCACCCCACCCAACTACAACTTTTCTAGGGGAGTGGGTGGTGGTAGCAGCACTTATGACCTAAGCCTTGTTTAAGTCTTAATAAAAACAATGTGTTGAATGACAAGTACACATTTCATAATTGAAATAATGTATGTAGAAACAAAAATATTAAAAGAACTTTTCTACATGGCTGAAGTGGAGAAGCATAGCCTTGTTACAAGTTTTGGGGGGAAGGAGGAGGGCTGAGACACCCTAATATTTTCTTGGACATGGGGAGGGGGAGCTGAATGAATCCAAGTCCCCCTGTTCCAGTGCCCTAAAGCACACTAACCATTATACTACTTTGGCAAAGATGTTATATTGTGGTATAATTTAAGAATCAGCTGTAAACACATGCCTTGATTGTAACAGATTCACAGAGCATGTTGAAAAAAGTAAAGACAGGCATGCTTTGTGCAGAGTGGCAAGCATTACTTCAGAGGTCCCGGATAGTTAGCATCCTTTGGATGTTTTCTCCAGGTGATGCCGATGTGGGAAATGAGCAGGCAGATAGACTGGCTGGTTCTGCACCACTTGGTGGTGAATTGATGTATGACAAGTTAGATATTGTAAGGGCCCGAGTGAATGGCACTGCAAGAAGTTGCCAGGGGATCTGGCCGACGCTTAACACTCAAGGTAAGGATGAAACGGATATACAATCAGGCAGTTACTGGTGCCATTTGAATTGGAACTCTTTGCTTGCTGCTGAAGATGGGGAGAGAGCACTTATGGGAGTGTCCCGAGTGCTGTGATGTCGATTCTTAATTCAGCATTCAACATATGCTGTGGTAGATCTTTCTTTATGGAGATTACCATGATTTCCCTTTTCTTACAACTCATTTATCTATGTCTTGTGGGGGGGGGGGGGGGGGGGGGGGGGGGGGTGGGGGGGGGAGGGGGGGGGTCAGGGTGAGTACATCTGTGACTCCCAGTTTCATAAGACCCCACCCCATGTGCGTTCCAGGGTTCTATTTTAGAGAATAAAGAATAGATTTACTGTTTCTCCCCCACCCCCCAACAAGCATGTCGTAGATGTCATAGGAGGTTACTGATTCAGGATGTTTTCTTCACAGTTGGTGTGCATCTGCCTGAGAAGCAAGGAAACATCAGTACGCATACAAATTGACCAGTTCTGTAAATCAGATGTGCATGCAAAACTCAGTTTCTGGATCAAAGACCAAAGTTCAGGAGTGGACTTCCTGGCTGAGTTTAAAACCAGTGAACATTAAGCAGAGGAAAAATATAAGACCCTTCTTATTTTTGTATGGTCTTTCACAGGTCTATTTAATAGTCATGTTTGAAAAAAAAATAATAGGTAAATCCACATTAGAATCACACAAAAAGAGGTTTGATTTTTTGGGGAAGGGGGGGGGGGGGTGTTATTAAATATTACTATTACTACCAAGACCCTTTAAATAGTTTCTGCAGACCTTCTGAAGAAGAGTACTAAGCCAAAGAGTTAAATAGGAGCAGACTATGAGGCAGATGAAGAGGATGCTGGAGAGATAATATGCAGGCAGATCTCCAAAAATATGCAATCAGAAACTGGAAATATAAAACTAATCATATAAATGAATGGAGGTTGGTGGTATCTGCAGCAGTGAACCTCAAGGGTTTTAAGGATGAAAAATAAGCATTTCAAGGGACATCCTTGTGATGTACAAATATTTTATATGACTAAATATTTAATAAAATAATAACACTGGTTGCCATTTAACTCTTTCAGTAATTAACTCTTTCAGCCACAAGGAATGCATCATACGTCCATAGGTTCCTAGTTAGAAGCCCAGTGAGCTCAAGAAGTACTGATTATACATTTTTCTTTACCACCCTTGGGCCTCTGATGATAAACCCCCTGGCATTGAAAAAGTCAACCATTATAACTCTTCCTGTTCTAATCAGTTCTAATTTAAAGTTGTCAGCCTTAAATCCAAACCATTAAAATATAACACTGAAGCAGAATGGTTAAACTAATTATTTGCACAAAAGGAGAATAGGCCTATTCAATAGAAAACAGACTCTTTTCCATGGAGATTAGGCATGGAAAAGGATGCTAGACCTATGTTTTATAGACCAACTGAATTTCGATGGTTGATGTGGTCAACATCTCACTGGCTGCCTTTACTTTTGCAGGACTTTACCCGGTACCCATTCAAGGCTGGGTTGACCTGGTAGCCAAGGTGATTTGTTAAGGAAAAAGTCCAGTTCTGTTTGGATATTCTTTTTTAAATAGTCCTTTTAACCAGTTATTGTTTTATTAGTTTCTTAGCAACCAAAAAAAAAAAATTATCTGTTCAGTCCAAAGAACATTTTGTGAAATACTGATACTGGGTGCCAGTCAACTGTTTTAGTTTCAAGAAACCTTTTGGATTTAATTAACTCTTTGCTGTGAATACCACTTATTATTAAATGTGGTCTGTTCACTTTTACATTTGGCCAGATTAGTCTAAAGAAATCTGGTTTCCCTATTGATAACTTCAGCTGTTTATTCAGCTTGTTTAAAGTGAATGCCCTCATGATTTTCTGCAGTGGTTGTTCATTTGGATACCTGCTATGAAACCTCTTGAGGCTGAAAAAAGTTAATTATATTGTAAAGATTAGTTTTTAGCACAATAAAATTATCATTAAGTAATACTTACCATATTTTTTCTTTGCAGACACCAAGAACTTTAGAGAAAACTGGATTTTCATGTGATCTGATATGTTTGACTTGACAGAGTATACATCATTTACTAACAATTCATATGATGCCATGCCATACATTTCTGGTTACTTCAGTCACAAGTACTCGTTAACTCAGCTTTCATCAAAGAGTTGTCAGTCTGAGTTATAAATGTGAGGGCCAATGGCATTTAACACTATAGCAGTCTGAGACAAAAATCATATCACTGGCTCTGATTAACAGGAGTGGTTTGTCTGAAGTACTAAAATAGAAACATATAATTTACAGTCTGCGGCAGAAATCACATTATTTACAGTGATTTAGGACGGGGGTCAGTTGGCTGAATGACCAGAACAGAGATAGCTGATGCATCAACTGAGGCAGAAATCACACCACTAATAGGGATCTAAGAAAGGAGTAAATTGCTGCATGACAAGAGACAAAGACAGCTAATACACCATTTTTTGTAACAGAAAAGCTGAACGAAATAAAAATGTCATTTTTAAAATTTCGGCTTCTCTTGTGGAAAAACTTCCTTATTCAGAAACGGAAGCCAATTACAACATTCTTTGAGATAGGACTTCCTACTTTGTTTTCATTTTTGCTGATGGGTTTACGCCTAATTGTGCCATCTAAATCTCATCTAAATGTGACTGAGTGGGGTCCCTGTGAATACAGACAGCTGGGGCCAGAGTTTAGAGATTCCTTCATTCTCGCATTTAGTCCTGGAAATGAACTGACAGATAGAATTATGGAAAGAGTGAATACAACACTTGAGATTGGATCAGGTGATAATAATTTGTTTTTATTTTTATTTGTCCTGTATAATTTGTTTTGGAATGCAACCCTTCTTGGCTTGCAGAATACATTATCTGCTTTTTCTTCTTCTTCTTCTTTGTGTTTACCAGCTGTAAACTCAGGCAGAAAGTTCTGGTTGTTTGTCCAGCTCTGGACTTTGGTCTTGTTCCAGAACATGGGTGTTGCGTGCACAATCATTTTTACTGATCTGATTTATTTGTATGCAGACTGTTGGTTCCTTGCCTCTCAGGCAGATGCACTCCAGTTTCAAAGGAAGCCTTAATTTTGTTTACTCTTATGACATGTTTGCTAGGAAGGTAGTGAGTCTAGTCTTGTTTTCCCCCTAATGGGGCCCCAGAACCCACACAGGAGTATACATTGTTCAGGCGATGTGACCTGGTTACATGCATCTCTTTCCAAAACATTCCCTTTGGTGCACTTTTCTAAGGCAGCCCTTTAATATAGTTAACTATCACAGCAGAGACGGTATCTTCTCTGATTCAGCCATCTACATTCACTGTCATTTGAAAATAAAGTTTGTTTGTTCGCTCATCCCTTCTTGTAGACAATCATGCTGATTATGTGTGCATCTTTGTGACAGGCTGTAATACTGTTTGTCTGTCAGTCTGCTTATATATGTGTATGTGTGTGTTTGTGTTTGTGTTTGCAGGTATGCATGCTGCGTGGGAAAGCACGTGTCTGGCGGGTGTATGGATAGATATATCCTTGTTTTGTTGTTGTTGTTGTTTGTGTGTGTGTGTGTGTGTGTGTTTTCCCCTGCACGTGGGTAAGAATGTACATCATCATCATGTAGCAGGTCCTTTGCAAAACGTCGCTCTCATCACAGTCTGCCTGAAAGAAACTCTCATACTCGAGAAAAGAATGTACATACAATAATGAAATGTAGTACTAATGTGGGATGGTATTCCTCCCCCCCCCCCTCCGCCCCCCCCCCAACAAAACAAATTAAACAAAATGTAGGCTACAGTATACCAGGAAGTCAAGGTGTTTCTTTATGCTGAAGAATTGCATGGCTGTAATGTATACAGTCATTAACATTAAATTCCTAATGCATAGAGCAGGTCAGTCAGGCACAACATGACCAGAGACTTGCAAAGAGCTTTGCATCAGATGACCGAGTGATATGAACAGACTGAGTCAAGGGTAAATCCTGAGAAGGCCAGTATTTTGTGATGATCCTTAAATAACAGCATTGGGAAGGAAGACCTGCCTAGCATAACCATGAAGGGCATAACAGTTGAAACATGAGATAGATTAAAATACTTAGGTCTGACATATGATGCAGTCTTTTGTACAAATATGGAGAGCAGACCGTGATCACATGGAAACTCGGCCCTGGTGACACTAAAGACTAGAATTTTTAATCCTGTCTACCTCACAGCGTAAAAAACTTGAGTGGATTCAAAATGAAGGAATGAGAATTGTCTTAGGTTGCACGTGAGATACACTAATTAGAAAAATGAGGTGCATGCTTTGGCTGTCACTGGTGTAAGCAGGACCTATATTCAAGTTACCAATGATGAAAGACATCCACTGCAAGGCGATCTGAAAGATTTGAGAGGAGATTGGTTGAAAAAAGGAAAGTCATGGATGGTACTAGCTGAAAATACCATTGGGCTGGCAGCCTCAGCTGAGCAAATACACAGGGGAGAGGAATGGATCAATACGAAAATCCACAAAAGCAGTTTCTATCAGGTCATTACCACTTTAAGAAGAAAATGTAGAGAGTGATGTAACGGTATAGCATAATTAGAGGTACAACAACTTATAGATTAAAATGCTGATGATGCAGTAGTGTACACCGATAGTTCTGTTTGCCAGATTGTAAGGTTTTCTGTGGATTTTCAGCTACAGTAAAGGGAAAGATCATGACAGAACAAAATGGGGCTTTTTTATCTACAGTTTCAAGCGGGATGATGGAGATGGAGGCAATGACTTCAGCTCTGAAGTGGATAGCAGAAAATAACTAGAGAACACTCGTACTGAACAAATGTGACATTCTGAAGACCAAATATGAACTACTACTGATAGAAGTCGATGATGTTATTTTAGGACAAGTACAGAAATGTAAGTATCTAGGCACATGGATAACATCAGATGGAAGATGCATAACTGAGATAAGAAGCAGAATAGGACAGGCAAAAACTGCATTTTATAAAATAAAAAACATCTTGTGCAATATTTCCTTGTCATTGAGAGTTAGAAAAAGAATTCTTGCTCGCTACATACATCCAATTTTAACATATGGTTGTGAATCCTGGACAATTGGTAGGCAGGCCAAACAATTTCTTGAGGCCTCAGAGATGTGGTTTTACAGAAGAATGCTTAGAATACCTTGGACAAACAAAAAGAGCAACCAAGAGGTTTTGAAAGAGGTGGGAGCCCAAAGACATCTTATCACAGACATCAGAAGGAGACAGTCATCATTTTTCGGCCATGTTATGAGAAGAGGGAAAATAGAACATTTTGTGACCACTAGAAAGATCTGTGGAAGGAGGGATAGAGGAAGACAATGAGAGAAGATGCTTGACAGTCTTGTTGCATGGCATGGAGGCGTGTCAGCACACGAACTGATACATGCTGCAGGAGATCGCAGATTGTGGAGAGGCATGATCGCCCACGCCAGTTGGCAAAGCACCTGATGATGATGACTGATAAAAGACATGGAGGTTAGAGGAAATAACATGTGAAAGAATGTGTAAATCAGGTGAGGATTTGGCAAGAATGGACACATGAGAGAAAGAGAATGAAAAGAATCAGTGTGCTTTGGAAGCAGTGAGTATCTACACCTTAATACATTTGCTTCATTTATTGGTATGCCTGGTGAGCTATGATGTCAATTTTTAAATAAATAGTCTATTCTGGATGTAGCTGTGTAGTGTCTGTTTACAGCACAACTGCAATATTTATGTCTTTTGGCTGACAGAGCAATGGTAAAGAAACAAAATTAATGTAAAGAGAGGACTACATAAAAAATACAGTGACCACATCAAGTACAATCTTAGATAAATGAAGACTGACTTGTGCATTAGAAAAAAAGCCCACAGAAAATCTTAGAATATTCCACCAAAATTTCAATGAGGTAATTAAAAAAAATAGAAGAAAAAGAATAATCATAATAAAGAATCTTAGGGAAATTGTTTTACAGGGTTAACCTGGGTATTCAAATTAGGACTGTGAATGGCATTCATTATAAAAGAACCTTCAGGCAGGAATTTCGCCTGGCATTCCTAACCTAAAGACAATAGGACTACATCAAGAATTCCTTTAAAAATGGTACATTCAGCAGCTTTAAAAAAAAAAAAAGTTATCCTTGCATTCATAGTAGGCCTACAAGGGCCTAATGATATGGTCGGTAGCTGACTACCCCAAGAAAGAATCGATATAATTTATTCTTTGATATCAAATTATATAACATTTAATTTAAATGATGCTGTTTATTGACAAGCTGCATCAAAGCTAATATTACATGTTATTTCTAGACTTCAAGTTTTGTGTGTGATTTTTACCTTTCTTTCTAGTGTTATATGTAATATTGTGTTAAAAAATCTTTCATAGACATGTTTAAACATAATGGGGAATTAAAGTAGATGCACTTTAGGGAATACTAGAATAGCTTGTTAATATTGTAGATGAACATTCATTGCCTGTTCATTCTTTGTGTTTCTAAATGCTTACTCACAGTTATCTTTACTGACTGTAAAATTCTACAGAGGCATTCTCAAATGAAGATGAGATGGTGTCCGCCATCAGGCAAGTCAACAATTCAAATGGCCAAACCAGTAACCACAGAGTTTATCTGGGAGGAGTTGTCTTTGATCAAGCTTTGCTTACTGAGAATAGAACTGTGAAGCTAAAGAAAAAAGTAGTCTATAAGATTAGACTGAGTTCTGAGCCAGGGTATGCTTATCATGATGGATCCTGGTCTACAGATCTTGTGTTTCCTCCTGACAAAAAAGAAATTGGACCCCGAGAGAGTCGAGCTGTTTGTGGTGGAAATCCTGGTAAGCGTTTACGTGAAAAATAGAATCTCTGTTTTTTTATTTATTTCTCGAACCTGGAGGGCATGTCCCTCTTAAGGGGAGGCAGTGGGAAGAGGGAGGGGGGGGGGTGGGTTGGATGAGGAAGTTCTAAAGGGAGCGTCAAGCAATTTTGAAAATGAATGCATCTGTACTTGTAACAATCCATTATACTTACCCCCCCCCCCCCCTTCCACCCCCCTCCCCCAGTTTTATTGTGAAAAAAAATATTTTGTGAACTAGGTTAGTTGTGTATCCTTTACAGGACGTTGCAGAACCAACCCCAGCAGCCCCTGGCTGTTGTGTGGTTTCTCTAGGCAAATTTACGTCCAGTAGTTTGCCATTGCTATCTGGACGGTCGGCCCCCTGATACCACTGTTGAAACCAACACAAGGCGCATGGCCCGCAGCTGAGATTGAACCCGGTACCCCAGCATTACGAAGCATTCGCATCGACTTAGCCACAGAGCCGATTATTTTGTGAACTATTTTTTTTTTAAAAGCTGAGGATGTTTCGTTTTGCTCAGCAGTGTGTACAACTACAGTTCAGAATCGAATTAAAATGAGGACTTGTGTATCTAATAATTTATTTTGATCACATTTCACTGTTTTTTTTTTTTTTTGAAAAAAAAGAGGGCAGGGGGGTGTTCTTGCCATATACTCAGGGAGCTGGGGGGGGGGGGGGGAAGAGGAGGCACCACCTGAAAAAGATTGAAGACCACTGGTTTAAAATATTTACCTTTTTTTTAAATTTCTCTAAAGAACACAATATCATACCCCTACTTGATCTCTCTGAAACAGATAAGATGCATAATAATCTAAAACCATAGCTGAAAATAGAGAAACCTTGTATGCATCTGGTCTGGTAGTCTGGTAGTATTAGTTTAAGCTTCATAGCAAACGGGTCACCCTATCTTTGCTCTGCTCCTGTGCCAACGAAAAACACACAGAATGTTTATCACAGTCCCTTGTGGAAAGATTGACAGACTGCTGTCTCAGCATATCTAGCATACACTCGCATTAAAGCATACGGCAGCCATCCGAAGTGCTAATACAAACAGTCCAACATTAGAAATGCAGTTCATCATTGATGATAGCAGAACTTGTCGCCAACAGATCAGCAGTTGCCACGCTATCAATTTTAATCATATAGGGCACGGCCAACATTGCACGACAGGCATCGCGCCATTTTCTGAATCTACAATTCACACCGCCATGTTGGTAACAGTCGAAAAAACATTCCAAATTCAATCCGCAGCTCACAGTGTCATGCCATGCATTCAACTCAGAAGCTGGGCGACGAAACTATATCCAGTCTACAAATGGAGCAAAAATGCATCGGCCACCGTCCGGCAGAAGCAAAAAATGTGCCTTTGCTTCAAACAGTGCCGCTGCCTAGCGTCCATTTGAACCGGAAGTATGCATATGTATGCATATTTATACATACATTTCAAAATGTAAATCTTAAAATAGTAGTCTATATGGCCACTACTATGATGTTAGATCTTAAAAATACATTCAGTGGTCATCCAGGAGATAGAAGTTAACAAAAATTGTTTATCTCACAAGCTACATAATGTTTCAATGGTATTAAACAAACTGCAGGTAATATATACCTTTACAGAATGAGAGACAGGCTGTTTACCCCTTGATACATGATAAGACTATCTGTAGGAGTGGCAAGCCATTAAAATAATAATATCCTCATAATTATCATCTTGTGCATAGCAAATAATCACAGGTGATCATCGTTCGCCCTCCCAAAAGATCACAAGTCTCAGATCTGTATTTTTGTGGTTAAGCCATTTAGACATTTGTCTCCTTGCTTTACCTTGGTCTTTTTCGTTTTTGTTTTTTAGTCACACATTTTTGTCACGTTTCAAACCTCCCAAACAACTGTACTCATAACAAAGCTTGCTCAGACTGTCAGATTAAGGACAGTTATTATTGCTAGTGATATGACCGACTATTTGCCATGGTGAGGCTGCTTGGATGGTAGCCCAGTAGAACAATAGGACTAGCAATAAACAAACTTATCAGCATGATCACTCCCATCTCACTTCAGCATATTCTTCACTGACAATATATTACAGTGACAGTATTTCAGTTACATTTTCTATCCACTATAATAACAATTAGTCTTTCTTCTTTAGTATTTTGCATATAGTGGTTAAATATTAACTTAATTGATATTTTAACAATAAACGAAAAAAATTGTTAGCACTGTTCACACATGTCCTAGGCATTTCTAAGTATGATAATTCTAATAAGGACAAATGCACTAACTAATGGCAAAATTTGATCAGAGATAAGATATTTATACACAAAGATTATTTATTAATAGGCAGGGTGGAATTTTCAACTTCTTGCTACATTTTTTAATGGCTAATAGAAAAAAATTATGCAATCACCCACAGCAGTTGTGTCTTACATACATAAATTGACCTTATTAAATAAACTAGAAGCATTTTTCTTGAAAATTGGAGTCTTTCAACATTTTAAAATGTCGTTTTCATTTTCAGTGCACCAAAATTAGTTGTTAAAATTACCTATTTTCATTTCTGGTACATTTTGCCTGTTGACTAATAAAATATTATATTCACTGTAGCCCTCTAAGAAGAAAAAAACACACATGCACACTTGCAAAAACATATACACAAAGACATACAAACACCCCCTCCCCCACCAGCCAACCAACCCAACCAAACAAACAAGCAAAACAACAGCAACATATGGTAAGTACTTGTAAAATAAGCAACAAAACAACACACAAGTTTTTTTTAGTAATTCATGATGCAAAATCTGCATAACCAAGCTTTTCTAAATTTCCATGACAGACTATGCAAGAGAAGGCTTCTTGGCAATCCAGCAAGCAGTTTTTGATTCTCTGACGTTTGAGTTTATGGCTAGGGAAGCTCAAGAAAAATATCAGGCTACAAATATTTTGTTGCGTCGACATCCTTACCCACCATACAAAGTAGACTATTTTAATGTGGCTCTCCAACAAGACTTACCTTTCTTTATGATGCTAAGTTTTATAGTCCTTGTGCTGGGAATGGTGCGAGATATTGTATTAGAGAAAGAAAGGCGACTAAAGGTAAGTTAATTAGTCCACATTATTTATTTTCTTAATTAGTATAATTAATTTTACACACTACATGTGCAGTTATGCTTCCCATTTCAGTGCCTCCAAAAGAATGCATCAGCTTCTGGTTAGTTAGTTAATTAGTCACAGTTCAGCTTTACAGCAAATGGGTTATCTCAGAATTGCTCAGTTTCTATGTCACTTGTGCTTGCTGTGGATCAGAAGGTCATGGGTTAGCTTCCTGGTGGAGCCAGACTTTTTTTTAAAAATGACCTTAGCTCCCAGGTCGATCCAGCCTTGAGTGGGTACTGGGTACAGTCCCAGGAAGTAAAGTCAGCTGGCGTGATGCTGACCACATCACCTATCTTGTGCCGATTGATCTAAAAAATATAGGTCTAGCCCTATATGCCCTAAACGCCAAAAGGCGTGAGAAAGGGTCCTTTACTTATTTACTTTCCTCTATTTCAGCAAATGCCACACACTACATTCCCATCACTGTTCCCTGTGAACAAATGAAGACTGCTGTTTCAACAAAGCCAGTAGCATACACACAGATTCAATGCATATGGCAGCCATCATAACTGCCAGTACAAACAGCTTGTCATTAGAATAGTTCATCATCAATGGAAACAGCAGTTACAACAAATCAGCTGTTGCATATGCAATATTGCATTAGACACTACCAGTATCAGTGAATGAATTAATATTTTATCTATACAAGATGACAGGCTGATAATTATCTTATCTAGATCTTTTCCACTATATAATTTTTAATAAATATTTCCATTGAAAAAAGTATTCCAATTTGTCTATTTTCATAATATGGTCCACAATGTGCACTGTGTCTTTGATATGCCTTTTATAAGCTGTTTTTTTACTTTTGCCTTTTACAGAAATACATGTGTAGGTTTTTTCTTCTTTTTTCAGCCTTTTTTCGATGCCAGCTTGGTAGAAAAGTTCTTGTTGTTCATTTGTTTCTAGGCTTTACTATTTTCCCAAACCTGAGTTTTGCGTGCACTTCCATGTACAGATATGCCTCATCTGTAAGCAGACTGCTGGTTCCTTGACTCTCAGGCAGATGTACTCTGATTTTGAAGCAAATACTCCTAATTAGTCTATTTATAGGACATGCTTGGGGGAAGGGGGGAAGAGGGGGGGGGAGGTTTGACCTATTTTTCCCCCCACCCGCACAGGAGCCCCAGAACCCACAAGGAGATTAAGTGATTTAGTCATTTGTCCTGGTACATGCAAGTAACTAATTTATTGTTGATGAGTTTATGTCTTTCCTGTAGTTCTGAAACAGTTAAATTTTTTTTTTTTGCTCTAGGAAACCATGAAGATGTTGGGAATCAGTAACTGGCTGCATTGGGTGGCCTGGTTTACAAAACACTTCCTTTTCCTTCTGATAACTGTCACAATCATGACCTTATTTCTATGTGTGGAGGTGGATGCCAGCACAGGAAGTGCTATTGCACAGACTGGCTCAGCAGTCGTATTTATTTACTTTCTGTGCTTCTCTGTGGCCACAATCACATTTTGTTTTGCGGTCAGTGTTTTCTTTTCCAGAGGTACGTGTTTTTTTTTTAAATTTTAATTTGGATCATCTATTTTCATTAAGCAAAACATAAAATCCTAATCTGCACAGCCCTTGGTGACAGCACTAGCTATGTGGCCTTAAATCCTCAGGCTCAAAGACCCCCCCCCCCCCCCCACCCCCCCAGTACGCAAAAGTGGTCAATACAAGCAGTAATAGCAGTTTGGCTGTATATTCATCAACTACCTCATGTGGGTTCTGGGTGGGGCCTTACTGCTTTTGGGGGGGAAATGGGAGGGGGGAGAGAGGGGGGGTAGATCCACTGTCTCTTAACAAGTTTATTGTAAAAGACAACTAATTAAGAGTTTACTACACCAACACAATGTACCAACTGCTCTTTTAAGAGAGAACATAAAAGGAGGAGGGGGAGAAAAAGAAGAGCAAGAAAAAGAACAAGAATAAGAACAAGAAAGAAAAGAAGAAGAATAAGAAGAAGAAGCAGAAGGATTAGAAGGAGGAGAAGAAGGAGGAGGAGGGGAAGGAGGATTAGGAGGAGAAGGAGGAGGAGGAGGTGGAGGAGAAGGAGGAGGAGGAGAAGGATGAGGAGAAGGAGGGAGGAAAGAGGAAGAAGGAAGAAGAAGAAAGAAAGAAAGAAAGAAAGAAAGAAAGAAAGAAAGAAAGAAAGAAAGAAAGAAAGAAAGAAAGAAAGAAAGAAAGAAAGAAAGAAAGAAAGAAAGAAAGAAAGAAAGAAAGAAAGAAAAGAAAGAAAGAAAGAAAGAAAAGAAAGAAAGAAAAAAGAAAGAAAGAAAGAAAGAAAGAAAGAAAGAAAGAAAGAAAGAAAGAAAGAAAGAAAGAAAGAAAGAAAGAAAGAAAGAAAGAAAGAAAGAAAGAAAGAAAGAAAGAAAGAAAGAAAGAAAGAAAGAAAGAAAGAAAGAAAGAAAAAAATAGGAAGAACAGAGTAAAAAGAAGGAAGACAAAAGAAGAATAAAAATAGATAAATCTGCATAAGATAATGAGAACATTTAATGTTAGTTTAATATCATGTGTGGAAATGGAAGATGCTATAAACCACATAAAGAAATGTAAATCTCCAGGGCCAGGTAACACCACGACTGAAGAATTAAAAGCTGCTGGTGAACTGGGTTTAGAAGTTTTGATGAATAGTTTTAAGATATTTATAACAATGGACACGTCCTGTTGACTTTTTGAAATCTCTTTTCATATCATTACCAAACACACCTCGTACAGCAGAAGTGAAGAACGTCAAACAGTTAGTTAAAGGAGTCATGTAACTAAAATATAATGAGAATGAACAAGAGAAGAATAAAGTGCAAAATTAAACTAGAAACTTTAGAAGAACAGTGTGGTTTTGTTGAAGATAAAGACACAAACAACACCATGTTTATCTTGAGAAGGTAAAGACACAAACAAGGCCATGTTTATCTTGAGAAGGTAATGACACAAACAATGCCATGTTTTTTTTTTGAGAAGGTAAAGACACAAACATCACCATGCTTATCTTGAGAAGATAAAGACACAAACAACACCATGTTTATCTTGAGAAGGTAAAGATACAAACAAGGCCATGTTTATCTTGAGAAGATAAAGACACAAACAAGGCCATGTTTATCTTGAGAAGATAAAGACACAAACAAGGCCATGTTTATCTTGAGAAGGTAAAGACATAAACAATGCCATGTTTATCTTGAGAAGATAAAGACACAAACAAGGCCATGTTTATCTTGAGAAGATAAAGACACAAACAACGCCATGTCTATCTTCAGAAGGTAAAGATACAAACAAGGCCATGTTTATCTTGAGAAGGTAAAGACACAAACAAGGCCATGTTTATCTTGAGAAGGTAAAGACACAAACAAGGCCATGTTTATCTTGAGAAGGTAAAGACACAAACAAGGCCATGTTTATCTTGAGAAGGTAAAGACACAAACAAGGCCATGTTTCTCTTGAAAAGGTAAAGACACAAACAATGCCATGTTTATCTTGAGAAGGTAAAGACACAAACAATGCCATGTTTATCTTGAGAAGGTAAAGACACAAACAATGCCATGTTTATCTTGAGAAGGTAATGACACAAACAATGCCATGTTTTCTTCAGAACACTTTCAAAAAGAATGATTGACATGGACAGAGATATGTATTTGTACTTTACCGATTACACTAAAGCATTGGATAAAGTGAAACATGAAGAAATTATCAAAGTTTTGGAAACCTTAAACATCGATGGTAAAGATCTGAAAATAATAAAAAAACATATACTGGCAACAAGAAGCGGCCACAAGGATTTGCATCTAATTTGGAACTTTTCAAAACATTAAACAATGCATTAGACAGGGATATGTACTATCACCTGATTTATTCAATTTGTACAGCAAAATAATAATTAGATCCATACATGGTATGCCAGGAATATCAGTGGGTAGGCATATTGTTAACAACCTGTGATATGCTGACAATATAGTCTTGATAGCTGAAAATGAACAACTGCAAGAAATGATGGACATAATTTGTAATGCAAAGTGAAAGCAGGGGTCTTAGTTTGAATAACAGAAAAACAGAAGCAATGGTAATTACAAAGTGCAACATCAAAGTAAATGGGACAGACCTCATGCAAGTTTATATGTTTAAGTACTTGGGTACCATGATAACATCAGATAGAAGATGTATTAAAGAAGTTAAATGTCAAACAGCTCAAGCAAAGGCAGCATTTTATAAAATGAACAATATTTTATGCAATTTTTCTTTGCCAATTGAGACGAGAAAGAGAATTCTTAAAAGCTATATAAATCATATCTTTGTAAAAGAAAGTGAATCATGAACAGTTGGTAAATTAGTGGAAACTTATTTGGAAGCTGTAGAGATGTGGTTTATAGATGAATTATGAGAATAACCCGGACAGATCAAAAGAGTAATGAAGACGTTTTGAAAGAAACTCACCAAGAGAACTGATTTCCCACATCAGAAAAAGACAGTCTACTTTCTTTGGTCATGTGATGAGAAGGAAAAACTGGAGTACGTCATGACAGTAGGAAAGGTTGAGGGGAGGAGAGGCAGAGGAAAACCAATAAAACATATGCTGGACAGTTTGACCTCATGGCATTAAGAATTATCTGTATCAGGGTTGGTTGAAAGTACACAAGACAGAAGGTTGTGGATAGACATGACTACCAATGACACACAGCATGGACTTTAAGAAGAAGAAATGTCATGTAAAGAGTTGCACTAGCACAGTGGCTAGCCAACATGAAGAACTGATTTTGCAGTGGAGTGGACATTTCTTATAAATGACCTAAACATGTATTCCATGAAATGTCCTTCTAAATATAGATGGTTGGCATTATGATAAGCTTATCAGACATTGAGTGTTTGATGAGGACGGAGCTCGCATGGGAATGCCCCGAGTGCTGTGATGTCAATTCTTTATTCAACATTCAACATTCTTAAGATGAAGAGTGTGAATTTATTGTTATAATAGGTGGTGTTAACTCCTTAAGTTCAAGCCGGTTATTAGTTCAATGCTTTCAGTACAAATGTCTGTGTAGATTACATTACAATTCTGTGATTCTTGAAAAGTTAAAGCGTACAGTTATGGGATAGTGCTAGGGAAAGTAACAGCTAAGAGGTTAGTGGATTCATGTAAAAAAAGGATGGGATTAAAGAAATAAAGAAATATATATGATGTATAGAGTGATCAGTGAACATATAGTTGGCATTTTTTACTAAAAGAGTTATACAATAAGAGAAAATAACATAGAAAAGAATGTAAACATGCTGGTCTTGAATAGCATGAAAGATACCAGTAAAGTTGACAAAAATTATATTTTTGTTGTTGCCTGCATCAAACTCCAGCTGGCTGGTAAAAATAAATAGTTTGCCATAGTGACATCGTTCATTGCTTGCATCATTGAGTAGTCTTTTAGCTCACTACACACAAACCTACAGTCAAAATTGTTAGTGGTTCATGAACTGAGAATGAATAAACATGGACACTGTTATTGCTTTTCCCACCAGCTGTGAAATTTATGTTATAGCCTTTGTATTCTCTTCTACAAGCTTACTAGATGATTTTTTTTTCTCAGTTATTTTTTGTGTCAGTTGACAGCAGCCACCACCTATTTATTGTTACTAGAGAAATTAGGGAGCTATGGTGGCTTATCAGTCTGATGCACACCTACCATTTTAAAGGTCTAAGGTTCAAGTCTACATTGAAGATCAAAACTGACCTTGACTCTCAAGTTGACCTAGCCTAAAATAGGTGCCAGGTATTGTCCTAGGACAGGGCTATTAAACTGGCGGCCCACAGGCCAAATGTAGCCCGCAGAGGTCTAGCAAATGGCTCGTGGATTACCTGCCAACTATATTGTATTAATGTTCTTTCTATGCTGGGTCTTGGTCTTCTGGCCCGCAGCGATCTCCATTTCCCAAAGTCTGGCCCCTCAGCAAACTTGGGTGAATGACCCTGTCCTAGGAAGTAAAGACAGCTGGTATAATGTTGACCAGATTACCCATCAGGTGCTGACTGGTCTTTGAAAATATAGGCCTAGCACTACAGGTTGATGCCCTAAAGGCCCTTGACTTTACAGAAAAATGTTGTTAAGAAACCAGATTAATAATTCAAATCAGCATGAGATTTTTTTAAAAACTGTTAAAAGTCTTGTGAAAGCTATTGAATCATTATAATATTTACTAACAAATCATTACTGTGTATATAATAATTAAATTATGTATATTTATTCCATTTGCTAGCAAACATTGGAGCAGCTGCTGGGGGGATTTTATTTTTTTGCTTCTACGTCCCAGTTCTCTTTGCACAAAATAAATATTCATCATTATCATGGACATCTAAAGTGTTGGCATGCCTAGATTTCCAAGTAGCCATGTCGTTTGGTGCAACATTGCTGTCAGCATTTGAGCTCAATGGTATGTATTTGCACGGAGATTTCAGTACATTTCTCCACACTGTCTTTGTCTGTTGAATAGGTATTTTTCTGGCTGCACAGTCTTTTACACTCCACACTTCCATAGGTCCTATTTGGCTTCCATCTCTTGCTTGCTCCTTGGGAAGCCAAGCCATTGCCCTAAGCATATGTCAGTGGGGACCTAAGCCTTGCCCAGAAAATGTGTCAGTGAGAAGGCCAAGAAGTTCCTGGTTTTGTTTCTCATGGTGTCGTACGTCATATGGACACTAAGCCTACCGGCGCTGGTGAATACGTCAATGGAGACCAAGTCTCCCTATGCTGGAGTGTGCATCAGTGGAGGCCAATAACAAATACTTTTGAGAACGGTTCCTGTTAGACACTGCTCATAAGTTTATGATAATTCATGGTCATAGAGCTGTTAGAACATTTTCTAGTCTAACGTGCACAGACTAGAGAGTGTAGGCTCAGACTAAAGAGTCTAGGCACAGAGTAGAGAGTGTAGGCACAGACTAGAGAGTGCAGGCACATAACTAGAGAGTGTGTGCAAACTAGATCGTGTTATTAGTTTGCAGAGTGGAAAGTTGCACCCATTTTCTGACCTACTATAGAGGTCATATGCTTCTGAAACCAATTGTTGGGCGTCATCAATGGCTGCCTAACAGTTGATGTTTCTGGGTTGTTGATGTGCTTACCTAGTAATGGGGGCACTTCGTGAGTCAGCACTGGCTTCCAAGGCTGTCTATGTTGTTGAGGTGCTGACCAAAGAAATGGGAGCACTTTGTGAGTCTACACCAAGTACCAGTTGCTGACCATGTGCTGTCTGGGAGTGCTGATCTGCTCCGGTTACTTAAGCTGAAAATGGTAAAAATATGGTGGTGACAGCAGTTAAGCTAATACAAGGAATTCCAGAGAAATTTGACTGAAAAGCTCAACAAAATGGGGAAGCAGAAAAACATGCACAAAACAACATAAATAACATAACGTTTGGGCCGGGCAGCCATTCTTGCCTTTTGCATTTATATTTAAATATCGCTTTCCATTCCCCATTTTTGTCTACATTACAGCCCGAAAAGCATGACTCCACATTTTGGAATTGGATACCACCAAGAGAAATTGGGCTAACCCTAGAATCATACTTGCCACTGCTGGGGATTGAACCTAGATTACTTTCTTGACATGAAAGCTTACAGGTCACTTTGCTACCTCAGCTTCTTTAGAAGAAATAACTTGTGAATGTGATATCTTGCAGGAGAAGGCATCCACTTTGACAACTTGTCTAAAGGTGTGTCTGTAGATGATGGCTTCTCAATGCTGACAGTGCTGATCATGCTTCTGGTTGATTCTCTCATCCATTGCTTCATTGCCTGGTATGTGGAAGCAGTCTTCCCAGGAGAGTATGGTGTGCCACAGCCTTTCTACTTTCTTTTTCTTGTAAGTAATTGTATATTTTGATTTTTATGTAACATTTGAGTTTAAAAAATCAAATAAGATAACCACTTATTGCTTTCCCAGGAAGAGTAATATCTCTGATGGTATGACAGTCTTTGAGAAGTTACAAACTGAGGAGGCTTTGCAGAGTCATAAAGTGTAAGAATATTTAAGACTACTTGTTGAGCCATGAAGCAAACTTTGATATGTTCTCACTGTACTGTAGACTGAAACAGTTGATGAGTCAATCAACATAGGCTGCCTTTGTTTCCTTACAGTTTTCTGGTGCATTTCATGCTGGGATTGGGTCATGGAATAAATATCCCTATCTGGGTTTGAACACATAACCATTAGGAAGGCAACCATTCTAGGGATTTCACTAATGTTGTTCCCACCAAAAGGCATGATCATTGAAAATCAAAAATATTGTTATCTCGATCTGATGAGCTGAGTTCAAAACCAAGATCACAGCATTCAGGACATTTCTATAAGCACTCCATCCACATCTTCAGCAGCCTGCACAGAGTTCTAACTCTGATGGTACCAGTAGTGGTCTGATTGTATATCCCATCTTTCCCTTTCCCTGAATGTTGAGTGTCTGATAGATCCCCTAGTCACTGCACCATTCTATTCAGACAAATCTTTATTTGATTTGACTGCCTGCAGTACAGCCGAGTCTTTTCAGGCTCAAATAGATCTGCACTATCTGAGCCATCTCAGGAGCACTTAGATAAGCCACACTTGCAGTAATCATATCAGACTCAATGGAAATACTTTGGAAAACTGCAACCATACTTTCTGCTCTGAATGGGTAGATAGCATTTGTAATTTGCACCTCACCTGGATGTACAAGCCATGGCATGCCAGAGTAGAAAAAGGAATGAGCTGACCAACTGGAAAGTAATATACCAATTCATGGTGGACAGAAACATGAATAGATTTGATATCATCAATTCTGTAGACCAGGCTGATGGATAATGATGAGTGTCAGACACTGACATAATTATGTGACATGGGAGTAAAGCCTGGTTGAGTTGAGTTGAGTCAAGAATTGACATCACAGCACTGGGGGCATTCCCATTTCCAATACTGATGGTACCAGTCATAATCTAGTTATATGTCCATCTTGCCTTTCCTCTGAGTGTAGTGAGCTGGCCAGACCAAAGCCGGGTGAAGCACATAACATCTATATAATTTTTTTTTCAAATGCCAGTATAGGAAGCATTATAACCAGCTGCTCATGGGAACAATGGGTAGAGGTAGCATAGAATGCTTACTGCATCAGATGACTGAGCATTATGGAAATTCCCAATGTAATGTGTTGTAACATTTTATATGGATAACACTATGTCTTTTGAGTCCACTTTGGAACTGACACATGGCAGATTGTCACCTTTTAGCAGCAGTTGCCAGATTCTTTATTTACGTGCAACAATTTGGTATGTATGAGTTTCTGTTGTTAATAATTTACTAACAGGGCAAAGGGGATTTCAGAAAAACAGAAGATGAACTGATGCAATATTCACACTTAGGCAATTAGTGGGAAGGACAATAGAATTTGATAAAGAATTACACGGTGCATTCGTAGACCAAGAGAAAGTTTTTGATAGAATTAATAGGAATTAATTGTGGAAGGTATTACAGGATTATGGAGTAAATGAATATATTATTATAATGTGCAAGAATTTGGTGTGAACAGTCAGTGCGCAATTAAATCAAACACAGGAATGTCAGAAAAGTTTAAGATCTGGAGTGAGGCAGGGGTGCTTTCTATCACCACTACTGTTCATCACATATGTCGAATTGCTTTTTGCCAATGAGCAGACAATCATAGCACCAACAGAAACATTCTCAAGAAAAGGAAGAACCACCAGTATCAAAATTGATGAACACCAGTTAAAGCAGGAGAATGAATTTACATATCTGGGGATCATTTTTTTCAGAAGACGGAAGATACAGATACAGATGCCAACAAAGATACAATAAAGCTAATCAAGTTTTAGGCCAAAATGGCCCCGATTTTGAACTGCAAGCATGTAAATATGAACACAACAGAACATTGTTCAACACAATATTCTTACCAATGCTGTGCTGTCAATGTCAGAAGAGAGAAGGAAAATAGTCATAACAGAAATGAAATGTTTACAGACTATGTTAGGTGTAATGAGGAAAGATCAACTTAGGGACAATTATATCAAGAAGAGAGTCAGCACAGAACCAATACTGAACTTTATAGGTAGACAAGAAATCAAATCGTTTGGCCATGTAACAAGATTAGCATCAGACAGGGCACCACAGAAAGCTATGTTATACAGATACAGCGCCAGAGGTCGAACATGCAGAAAATGGACCCAGAAATGTCAGAGACACTGAAAAGTATTTTACACAAAGCAAACAGAAGGGCCCATTCCAGCGATCTCTTCCTGCCGGATGCCACAAGGCACTGCAGGAGTAGAGAAAAGAAGAAGAAGAAGAAGAAGAAGAAGAAGAAGAAGAAGAAGAAGAAAAAGACTAACAGTATATTCGACATGTAAAGTATAAAATACAAAAATAAACTGTACATTGTTTTAAATGTGTTTAGCCTAGTTACTGGGGCCACTGCAGAAAACGACAAGATAATAGAATTTTAGACAAAGATTCAAGTGTGGGGCAAAATCCTGCCATGTTTGAGAAGGAGCCAACAGGACAGAATATTGGAATCGAGATTAAAAATTTACGTAAGGTGAGCAATACTGATCAGTTACCTTTAGCAGTCGCACAGTTGTTAGCAGTATATATTAATGTCTTTCGGTTGGTTTTTTACATGTACATTTATACTTGGGTCTTTTATGTCCTTTAACATTTTCTACTTAGTGTGTTTGCTTTTCATAATAAGAGATATATTTCCAAAAGTAGTAGCAGCATCCATACAAAATCAAGTGTCAAAGTTGAGAGGACTGATTTTATTGCACCAGCTGCCAAGAGTATCATAAAGATAACAAAGATAGCTCCAGCAATCTCTGTAAATACTAAACTGTGAAACAAACGTACAGTCTGTGAAATAAACCTAGATGCTTTTGAGCGTGAGCTAAATGGCTTGATCACTTCATTACAGAGAGTCTGAAACATATAAATAATATCCTTTTCAACCCCTTGGCTTATAATTGGGATATAGTATCCATTTCAATATTCTTTTTTATAGCAAATATTAATTTTTTTCAGACTTTTCCATCCATTGCTGTTTTTATAAAATCATGTCTTTAATTTTGGTGAAACTTGTGGAGTTATCTCCATCTGGGTTAGCTCTGCCTATTACACACTAGGTCACTTTTGATTGGAGCTTGCTCAGGCTGGTCAACTTTGCTGAAGGTTATGGGGTGTCCCAGTGTACTGTTTGCTCAAAAAGCTTTTTGTGTTGTCTTCCATTTCTGTTTTCATTTCGAGAAAGAGAAAGCATGTGATGTAGGTTGCAGCACTCTCAAAGGGGGTTTGTGTTAGGGCCAGTCCTGCACATATTTGAACTGTTAACTGCGCTGACATCCTAGAAAATACAACACATGATATCAACGGCTGGTGTAGAGAATGCAGAATGCGTTTTGAGCAAATAGTACACAGAGACTACCTATAACCTTCAGCAAAGTTGACAAGCCTAACAAAGAATGAATTAAACGTGACCTAGTGCGTAATTGGGTGGAGTTTACCCAGATAGGGGGGGGGGGGGAACTTCATAGAATTTACCCAAGTTTCAATGAACCAAGAAGTGAGGAAAAGATGCCTGTGTTGAACAGTACACACTGAGTAAACTTGATGATAATATAATTAATTTATCCTTGCACTGGAACTCATAGGACCAATGAATTAAAGACAAAGTAAACAAGGATAAAAATGGAGAAGAGTATTACAGACAAGCGAATAAGTTGAGGAGCAAGCTGGACAACTTAGCTGAGTTGGTTAAGGGCCTGTAATTCACTATGGACTAAGGGGAAGAAGAAAAGGTATTGCAGTTTGGATGATACAGAAGAATTGTTATGGCATATTGCACTTTTTTTATAAGGACAGTGATCCAGTTGGAGTTTCTAGCTCAGAAAGTATCTTTCTCTAAGAAAGAAAAGTGACAAGAGATCTAGCATTTATTTAGTCATGTCATTTCATATCTCTTGGCTGGTGTAATGCTGACCACATTACCCACCTAGAGCCGAATGGTCTGTAAAAACATGGGTGCTCTTCTCATATGCCTGATGCGCCTAAAGGTGTGCAAAGGGATCTTTACTTTATTTTACTTTTATTTCATATCTCTGAGTTAGTATGCTCTGGGATTGTCATATTGATATTATTATGCTGAGATACATTGGAATAAAATTATGTTTGTAGGTCTTTGGCAGTGGACCAAAGCAGACTGTAGCTGTTGCTGGCATGACATTGAACATGTATGAAGGACAAATTACTGCACTACTTGGTCACAATGGAGCTGGGAAAACAACAACTATGGCTATGCTTACAGGTAACTGTAATCACTGTGATTCAGTAACTACTCAGTTTTGAACTGTATAACATATGTATTGAAATGTATTATCCACTTTAGTTTTGAATTGTATAGCTTTTATATATACTGAATTATATTACTTACTTCTATTCAGTATAATACTTGTATTGCAAATTATCAACCACTTTAGTTCTGAATTGTGTAACACTGATTCGTTTGCTACAACTATCATAGGTAAGTTACATAACATGTGACTTCTCTTCTACTCCTGGGTTCTACCTTGTGAAGCCAATGCAGGTGTGTTTATTATAGTACCTGAGAAATTTAACAGAGTATCTGGAATTTCATGTGTTCATGTGTTCCTCTTGTTGTAAAACACTGAAAACAAACAATTAACATACCACAGAAGGAGGAAACTGTAAGAATAACAGTGGATTTGGTCGACTTTTAGTGCTCATAAGAAAATCAATTGGAACATTTAACAATAGTTAACAAATTTGCAAGTTATTTGTGCCAGATTTAAAATATATCAGTATTTGTTTTTAAAATTGGTTTAGACATACTGATTTTAAATATTATAATGAATTTCATCAACTGGCTCTGGTTTAAAAAAAAAATTTTACGATGAATTTACATTACAGTAAAAATGTTGAATGTTGAATTAAGAATCGATATCACAGCACTCTGGACACTCCCATAAGTGCTCTTTTCCCATTTTCAGCAGCAAGCGGAGAGTTCCAATTCTGATGGCACTAGTAGCCGTCTAATTGTATATCCGTCTCATCCCTTCCCTGAGTGTTGAGAATTGGCCACATCCCCTGTTAACTCCTCGCAGTGCCATTCTCCTTAGACCGTAATGATCTATCTGCACATCCGCAAAGTTCACTCATTCCCAGAGGGCCCTTACAATATCTAGCTTCTCATACATCAATTCACCACCAAGTGGTGCAGAGCCGGCCAGTAAATCTGCCTGCTCATTTTCCAACACACCGGCATTACCTGGAGAAAATATTCAAAGGATGCTAACTACGGGGGATACGGTCGGTGGTGAGGCATAGTCACAGAAACAGGTCCACAAGTAACATATCGCTGAGACCCTGTTAGAGCATTTGTTTCATTATACGGAGCCGGCATATTTTTAATAGAACTGAGCCCCGTAAGGATATTTTTGGATATTTTATGGCCGCCATAATATCGGGACGAAGTTCGGAGGAGAGCCAGCAGCCCACAACATATATGCTGTTGCTTGCTAAAATTTACTTCTAATGATGCTGTAATAGTATACAAAACAGCTTAGAAATAAACATAAATTGTGGTCAATTAAGTCACAATATTACAAAGTTCATAATTTCTTTATCAGGCAAACATAATGAAACTAATAACCTCATTAAGTTCATAATTTTGCTGGCACGTCTAGCAGTAGTAATTTTCCAAAAATATACTGTTCAACCTTCAGGGTTGTACTCATAATTGTTTACTGAGATTTCAGAGTATATTTTTTTTTTAAATTTATATATCATGTAATTATTTATGACTAAAATGTAATTTGTATTGTTTCACATTTTGCTTTTATTTGGGATGTGGTTATGATAGAAATTGAACTGTGAATAATTAGACAATCTTACTATTATTGTGATATTAACATGGTGGATATACTGGTTCCTTAGTCTGCTGTCATTGATTAGTCTCTTCAATTTGTACTTTTAGGGGACACTTCTTCAAAGACACCATGGGCAAACTTTACTTTTCTATATATGGATTTCAGTCCTAGTAATAAACTGATTGACCTTGCCACGCAGCTCCCTGGGGCTGTTTATGTGCAGCAAGTTTTCCATCGTCATAGGTAATTTACATATATTCACCTAATCAGTTACTGGTTTTCTTTGGCTTTCATATTTCCTACACTCCAACAAATAGTGAGCTATAGAATTGTATTTCTGGCATACATTACAGGTCTCTTCCTGTATAGCAAAGCAAGACCATCCAAGTAGTAGTCTAAAAAATGTATGACTGCTTGGTATTTTAAGTTAATCTGTTATCCAATTTTGTCTTATAGGAGCACTTACCAACTTATATGAATATCTACCCTTTAAGCTGTAGTCACAATTCAAGGACCATTCCTCTAATATAGTTAGTCTAGTTTTGTTTTTAAAGACATAAATAAAGACCACAAATTTCCGAGGTTATGTGGAACCGCATAACTTCAGTCTTCTGTTTCATAGTGCAAGAGATAACCAATGCAAAGTTTGTACCAGACATAAACAAATAATTGTCACAGAAACCAAAAGGAAAGTATACTTTGGCCATAAAGAATGTTAGATTATTTGCCAGTTCGGTACTCTATAAGGGGCTAATTCATTTTTCCTGTCTAGGATTTTATCCTCCAACCAGTGGAACTGCGCTTGTCAATGGCTATGATATTCGTTATGAGATCAGTGATGTACGGGACAGTCTTAGCCTGTGTCCACAGCATGATATCTTGTTTGATAATCTCACTGTTGAAGAACACATGATGTTCTTTGGATTGGTACGTCTTATTCACTAGCTATGTCATTCTGCATAGTTAAAACAAACACGCCTTTCCTTACCCTTTTTTTTTCTTGCAGCAGAAAACTTGGAATACAAAGCTTAAATAAAAAGTGGGAAATGCTGAAAGACTCCATTCATCCAACTGGCAGATATACTGTAGTAGCTATAAAAAAGAGGCATGTTTGTTTTTGATCATATAAAAAAAAGGAGAGAAGCTTTGGAGATTATGATGACTGAAAAAAAAAAAGGTTAAAGTCCAGAGAATCGACTTCATTGCACCAGGTTTTATCTCATATGGCTCAGTCTCCCTCCCCAGAATGGCTAGCTGCCTGTCAAAATCGTCGCACTTCATAGCTCAGGCAACAGTCCCCATGAATTTCTGTAAAAGTTGCTTTTATGAAATAAGCGCAGCAGCCCTGAAATAAACCCATGACCTTCAGAGCATGAGGCAAATGGCTTAACCACTTCACCTCAGAGACCCCCCCCCCCCCCACTGATGACTGAAAATATCAGAGATAGAAGAAGCAGAGGCAGACAGGTAGAATGGTCATGGATGGTTAGGTTAGTTGCGTATCCTTTACAGGACGTTGGAGAACCAACCCCAACAGCCCCTGGTTGTTGTGTGGTTTTTCTAGGCAAATTTATGTCCAGGCATAAATGTGTTGTGCCCATTTACAGC